AAATGCTGATAGTTGCAGCTGCCTTATGATTAGTGTTTTATGGGAAGTTGGGGTTTTTATTTAATCTTAATGGGAATGAAAGTTTCTTGCTGTCTGTAAAGAAATGGAAGGGTTGATTCCAGACTGAATCAGAGCTTTTTGACTTAGGACATGATGATATCTGGTGTGGTCACACCAAGCAAGGGAGAGACTTGCTGGTGGTTGCTGAGGTGTGCCTATTTTCCCCCTCTCTGTATCCAAGACTAAAAGTCCCACTGAATAAGCTAATTGTGTTGGGTTTCGCTTCAGACAGTGAAAAAGGGACATGGGACTGTTGGGAATGCCTTAGCACAAGCTAGCTACGCTGGGTGCAATGGGAAAGCAGAGAATGGGCAGCGACCCAAGCTGGTCCTGATGGATGGGAGCAGAACTACTTTGAAAGGAGGAAAACACATGAAAACTAGATGGGGAAAAAGATCCATTTCTGACTGAGAAGCTCATAAGAGGTGGACCTACACTGAGAGAAGACCTTCCAGAGCAGCAAATACAGTTCTCACAACAGAAGGGGCGAGGTTACTTTTATGAGATTTCTATCTCCAGAGCATCTTTTCAGTCTAGCTCAAAATATTACCAAAAGCAGCATGTCTGAGTGCTAAACATTAAAGCATCACTTTGAGTAATGACCTAATCAGAATCCAGATCTTAATTTGTTTTTTGGCTCATCTTTATGAAACCAAATTATTTGAGCTGTTTACAGCTGGCTGTGCTTTTTTCCATGGTTTGGTATTCCTGTCTTGCCTCCTAGCAGTTTGTTTACTGATATTAGCCCTTTTCATGCCAGTTGGCAGAGATTTTCCTTTTCATTCAAGGGCTGACAGCCAGCACACCTTTGAAGTCCTTGAGGAATTAGTTGCCTTGGGAATTTTTCGTGCTGTAACCTATTTATGGGTTGTTTTTTTTAAGTCTGTTTTTGATCATTAGCTGAATTCACAACAATCATCTTTATAATGTCATTAATAAAGGTTTCTTAACCATGCTGATGGGCATTTAGGTCATTGTGCAGTAGTTCAGTAACAAGCAGTACAAAACACAATAATCACAGCGTATAAATAGAAAGAGGAACAGTCTGCAAAGATTTGAACATCCGAGCTGGAGGGTATTTAGGAACTAGAGCTTTATTCAAGCCCACCTTTCAATGATTTAAAAACAAACAAGAAAAACCTGCCATAAAAAACTCCAGCCCCAAACACAAACCCCCAAAAACAATGAAAAGACTTTACTAGGAACTAAACTCCAGAAGGGTGGAAAGGAAAAGGAATGGGGTGACTTTATTCTCCTTGTTTCAACACTGGTTATACCAAAGAAGTAGTTTGGAACCGAGAAAACTACATTTTTGAGATCAGTTTCAGTATGGAATTAAAGAGCTGGCCACACGCTTGTGTGGTACCTGTTAGTAAGGATGGATGTGGTGGTTAGATGTAGGTCTGACACTATACAGGAGTGGGAATTAAATAGTCAAACCCGCATCAGCAATCAAACCTTAAAGCTACAGCTTTTCTGTTGCTTAATAGTCAAGCACAATCCACTAAACCACTACAGAGTCCCCAGCTCTTTAAACCTGAAAGCTTGGAGGATGTTGCATGGTATCCCTTCCACCCTTCAAACCGTATTGTGCTAAAGACCCTGAACTATCAGTATAGCTGGAAAATACGTGTTTTAGGAAAGCCAAAGTTCTGAATTCCATTGTTGCCTTCTACAGTGGCTGGTGATAGCTGGAAACTACTGTATGGTGGTTAAGGAGTGAGCATCTGCTCAGCTTTAGTTTGTATTATTGATGAGTTTATGCATTTTAGGTTTCCATGTAGTAGCCTGTGCCTAGTGGTGATTCAAATCTAAGATAGTGGTTGCTTATAGGAAAGATAAGTGCACCTCTCAGCTCCCAGATGCATTGCTCAGTAATCCCAAAGAGCAAGTAGCTATGGTGAGCATTAAGTATGTATGTAACGGGAAAATGGCATGCAGGCATTCATGACCATTTTGGTCTTGAGTCTTTTTTGCCCCAAGATACTTAGTAATAGATGTTCTCAGCGTATTAATACCCTTACTATAGCCTTCAGATTTAATGTTGTTGCATGAGGTAAAGACCAGTTGCTAGGAATTCTTCTGTGTTAGCATTCATCAATGAACTCATCTGGATGGTACTTTGACTTTTGGTTTTTTGCTGAAAAAGAAAGGTGTGTTTTCCAATGAAATGGGCAGTTGTTCAAGAGCTGTTGCAAAACGGTGTTACACAATGCAAGAATTCCTAATACATAAGCAACAGGCAGGCGTGGTGAGCTGTTGTAAGCTTTTTAGGTCAGTATGCCATGAATCAGTATTTCTTATCTAACTCTGATTCAGAGTATGAAATTTTGACCTTTTCACTGTGTGGCGTAGTTTGGGACTGCACAAGGAGAAGAGGGTTACACATAAAGCTCTGTTGCCTCTGAAATCTTGGTGTTTGGAGCTTCCAACTCCAAGTGAAGGCAGCTCTCAGAGCTGAAGTGTTAGTAGTCTCACCACGTACAGCTTAGGCGTCCTTTCTCTTCTTGAATAGCTACACGTGAAAAAAGATTGAAGGCATTAAAAAAAGCTGTGTGTTTTCTGCACAGTTCCTTCATCCGTGGGAGCTCTCTTTTCCAAGGTCAGGATGTGACCTTTGAATGTCTACAGCTGAGGAGAAAACTGAGATGAAATCATTTTATAAGCGGAGATCAAAAAGCATATTGATGGATACAGTAGTGCCCTGCAGCGTTTTGTCCCAGCATTGTGTTAATCCAATCTGATAATCTGTCAAAGCTCCTATTCAATGCAAGTGATTAATTCCAAACTGTGGTTTTCATCCTCCTACCAGTTTTCCAAAACACTCCTGTTATAATTGTCAGCTTTATAGTGATGATGGGGTACATTTGATACTGAATGTTGCTAATAAAGGGAACATAAATCCTTTGGTAAATTGATGTTTGTCAATCAGAAAGTCCTTATGCCTTTCTGGGAAAAAAGGGCAACAGCTTGTGTGTAAATCAGAGAAAGCACAGAATGCTTTTGAAGAAGACAGTAGGTGAGGACACAAGTTTCCTGATTGACGCTGCTGCTTTATAAAGCAGATTAACATCTCTGAACTCTGATCTGAAACTGAATGGCAGATTATGCGGTTACTGCCTCGGCTGCTGTTCATGACTGATTGCATTTAAAAGCCCTTGAGATGCTTCACAGGGTATAAATGGGAAAAAACATGTTCTTGAGTGATCAGATGGTGTTTGGCTTGAGCATCCGCCCCTCTCATGAGGGCATTGGTAAGTCACCTGAAACCTGTTGTTCAGCAGAATGAAACCAGTATCCGGTTAGTATTAAAAGCAGCAATGTTTTATTCCCAAATCATTCCTCTGAATCTCCTGCCATGGGTTTTTGCCTCTAGTATGTACTTGACAACGTGCAGTTTTCCACTCTGGTTTTCAGATAAGGAATTTCAGATTCAGATTCAGATAAGGAATTTCAGATTCAGGTATTGGGATGACTTTATAGGATAGTCCTGTGTATCCTACAATTCTGCAGATAAATCGTCCTGTTACACCATCACTTAAAGTATCCACAAGCTGCTTACTGCTTTAATCTCTGAGTGGATTTAGGAGCCAAATGGCAAGGGTGGATGGGAGCAGCACAGTGCATTCATACTCATCTGAAAGTCAATTACAGATTTGGCTTGTGCTTTTATAACGCGAGATGGATGCATCAGATAAAATGGTGAAAACAAAGGGTGTCTCTTGCCTCTAGGGAAATACAAAATAACTCTTTGGGGTGTTCCAATTGCTTGCTCCCAGTTTACAAAAAAATATGTTTTGCCCCCAAACCGCTTGAGAAGGTGAAGCTGTGTCAGAGTTGCAAGTTTTTCCCAGAGATTGAATGGATTTTTAGGCATCTGATGATGCAGACGGGTTTTCTGTTGGCGACAAAGGAAGTTCGGTATCCCCTTGCTTTCGGAAAATCCCCCTGACCTCTCTCGAATACTCAGTGACCATGAGCTTTTGTGTTACAGCACTGCCCAGGAATGCAGAGCTTTGTGGTCCCATTGTTTTTGTGTGCCTATCTATTTTGTAGCCTTGAGGGTGGTTCAGTAACTCCAGAGTAGGTGGGATCCGCTCCTCGGGGGAGCTGATGGACCAAAGGTGGTATCAGTGGAAAGGATGCCTTGAGCACGGTTGTGTAGAGCATGTGTAATGTGCATGTACACTTAGATGCCAGGCAGAGGCTGTTGGTACAAGCTATGGGGGGACATCGGTGGGAGAGGCAGCGCAAACCTCATACCCAGGTTACGCTTGAGCCACAGCAGCTGCTGCAGGTTTACATGGGGTTAGGACTTTGTTGTCCTTGGCATTCAGAAGCCAGCAAGAATGAGTATTCTGGCAGAGGAACAGAGCCCATTTGTTTAGCTTGTATGGTCTTCCTAGATTAAACAGACCATCCAGAAAAGAGGTGAGATGAGAAACGGAGGCATCTGAGTACAAAATCCCTTTCACAAAGGATGAGCAGCACAGGCTTGGACTAAACCCTGCACTCCTCCAGTGCCCCATCCAAGGCCAGGTTGGACTTGGAGCAGCCTGGTCTAGTGGAAGGTGTCCCTGCCCGTCCAGGGGGTTGGGACTGGATGAGCTTTAAGGTCCCTTCCAACCTAAGTCATTCTATGATTCTATGATGCATGGGAGCCACCAGCAGTGCAGTGTACTGAACCAGGGTCTGTGGCTACAGACTCATGGCCCAGTTGTGGGCATATGAAACAAGGTTTTATGGATCCCTTTGTCCTAATGATAAAGCACGGTGCACAAAGAGGCAGAAGGAAAATCTGGGGGCAAGGGTTATACAGCAGATGACTTTTAAGGAGGGAAAAGATATCCACTTGGAGCTTTTTTTAATTCAGGTGTTTTGCAATGCCCCTTCTCTTGTCACTTGAAGAGCTCATGACATGTCTTCTGTTTCTATTTCAGGCCAAGAACACCCTAATAGCCTGCGGCACAAATACAACTTCATTGCAGATGTGGTGGAGAAGATAGCTCCTGCTGTGGTTCACATTGAATTGTTTCGCAAGTAAACAAGATGCCCTGTTCTGATTTTTGTGTTCTTGAAAACAGCTGACAGTGTGCCAGAAATGTTGATTGATGCCATGTAATAGCAAAGAGTGGGTTTGAGATGATAAATATTTGTCATGCTTAAGAATTAAAGATTATTTAAGAGTCCTGGCAGTAAAAAAAATTCAGTTCAACTAATGCATGCACATTATCTTCTTAATGATAGTAAGTAATAGCAGGTACCCTAAGGCATTAAAAACAACCAAACTCTTTTGGGCTGTGTGTTGTGTAGAGTGATTTGTGATCTTTCAGCTTTTTGCAGTGATAAACGTTTGTTTCCGATGTCTTTTAGACTTCCGTATTCAAAGAGGGAGATTCCTGTTGCCAGTGGTTCAGGGTTCATCGTCTCAGAAGACGGACTGATAGTGACAAACGCCCATGTTGTCACCAACAAAAACCGGGTGAAGGTGGAGCTGAAGAATGGTGAAACATATGAAGCTAAAATTAAAGATGTTGATGAAAAAGCTGACATTGCACTAATTAAAATAGATTCTCAGGTGAGTTGTTAAAGCGAGATGCATTTTATCCCTCGTCATTTAGTATCCTCCGTTGCTGTTTTTCATGTTCAAAGGAAAGGCCAGTGGTCTGAGTTACAGAGCATATTTGAGCTAGGTGGATACATGTTTTTAAACACCAAGTTTGTGGTTGGCAGTGGTTAATTTTATCACCTCTCAGTGTAGTGTGCAAGAAAGTACATAGCGCTTCTGTATGCATCCTCAAAATAAAAACCAACAACATAGTTTGCTTGCTGCTTTACACACACATATTTGCTAATATAATGCTCCCTCTGAGGAGAAATGGGGGTGTTCCCTTGTTTTTGGTAGAGGGACATGTTAGTCTGTCTTGAGCTCCTATGCTGAAGTCACAATCTGCTTTTAGAGGAGGTGTTTGCCCATCTGAAGAGCTGTACCACACTGGTGGATACTAAAATGGAAAATATCCTAGGAAGTGTCTTGAACGTGCAAATTGAAGCCATTGGAAAGATGCTGTAGGTGGTTTTCTGAACAAATGGGATTGCAACTTCCCATCCGTAGTCTTCCTCCATCTCAAACATACAGTTGTCAGCATTATTCTGCCTGCTGCAGCAGCAGAAGAGCTGTCATGCAGTTCTGCGCATTCAACAGCTTAGCGCAAGTGGAATATCGTGTCGAAACACTGCATGATGCAGCTGCAATTAGATGCATGTGATTGTTTAGGGTGCTGCTTATATTGGTTTCCCTTGTTTGGACTGTTAGTTACTGGGCAAGAACGTTTCATTTGAAACACATGACTCAAAAATGTGTAGATCTTGCAGTGTTGTTTTAGTTCAGACCTATTCCCCAGCGAGGTCAAAAGTGTTTGTGCCAGAGTTCATGACTAAATCAGACGTCTAATGCACAACTCTTGGATGACCCAAGATATGAAGTGCTCCTGCTGCTCCCTTGCCACCTTTGTCATTTAGAAGCTCTCTCTTTTGTTTTGTTTAAAAGCCTCTTAAGAGCAACATGGCAGAAAACCTTCAAAATACCAAGAATGTTTTTTGCCATGTTGTGTTTTCCTGGTTTCCTGAGGTGGAACCTATTTACACATGTATCAATCACTTATCTTCTCATTTTTATATTAAAACAAGCAGAAGCAGATCTGCAGTAATAAGCAGATGAGAATTCACACCATTGGACTGAGTGGGCTATGGCAGGGATTGAAGGGCAGCTGGAAAAGTGATTTTAAAACAGCATGGTGGGGAAGGTAGACCAGCAAATGGTGGTGAGAAGGAGAAGACTTCGAGCTCAATAGGAGAGTGAGTTTCAGAGAAGAGAGAAGCTGGTGAGTCAAAGAGAGAAGACGTTGAACTGATGTGACAGATTATTCTGAGGCCTTATGAAGCCAGCAGACAGAAAGTTTTATGTTATTTAATACCCTAAAGAAATGGCTCCAAAATTTCCCTGGAAGCTGCTTACGGGAAGGGAGAACCTGGAAAACTGGAAGCAGCTTGGAAAAAAGAGAATGCAGCCAGATGAGTTGCCTGTAGTGGAAACCACTTTAAACAGGGCTGGAATTGATGATTCTTGTTATGACTTGCAAGATGGCAGTTACTCTGCTTTTTAAAAGGTGACTGCTGTGTAATTAAATGGTGGTCATCTTCTCCCACCAGTTGAATTTTGAATGTAGTTGTGACCCTGTTTTGCAAACAGCACATCAGCATTGCAACTAATTCATTTATATATATTTGCAAGTTCTTTAAGGAAGGAAACTTCTTCTGTCTTAGAGGTATCTAGAGCCAAATCTGCTGCAGTTTTCTTTTTGGGGAGGGATTGGCCCGTTAATATTCAGTTGTGTATGAGAAAAAGGGCTGGTTTGAATGAAACTTTGGGAAGCGTCTCAGTGCCTGGAGGCTGAGCTCCCACTCAGCCTCTGGTAATGTCAGCTTAGTTCATCTGTGTGGGTACAGGAGATGAAATATCACATCTCTGCTCTAAATTAGGTAGAATATGGATATAAACTTGGGTCTGACATACCCTTGCTAAGCATCCTGTGAGTTGTAGAACCCAGTGCCTTGTGTGTCCTTCCCCCATGGCCCTTGCTTCTTGCATTTCAGGATAATTCTGAGAAGACTTGGGGAAAACTTCTTGTATCGCTTGTTTTTTTCTGGGATGGGAGACCAGTTTTCCAGCTGGCTTTAGTAACATGGCATTGGGAAATCCCAATCCAAGGTGAGCCTTGAAGCACCTTTATTTACAGGACGGATGATGCTTTGCACTTGAAGAATTAGAAACACAACATTCTAAGTGTTCACCGAAAAGCTAAAGTGGAAACACAGCTCAGAAGCTGATTTTCAGGCTGAACTTTCTTGGAACATTTGTATATATCCATTCAAGTTCAGTGTTTGAGCTTTCCTTTTTGTACTGAAATACCTTGCAATCATTCAGATTGATAAGACTTTCTAAAATCACAGAGGTAATAATTTATTGAAGTCGAAATGTATTTGATGACTGAAGAAGTCAATGTGATGGTACAAATAACCCTTTAAGTATCTGGATGTGGCATGGGAACCATCCCCAAGATTTTTTTCTGAAGTTAGAGGTGAACTTCTTCCTTTTGCATGAATTATTTAAAGGTGACATCAAAGATGCAGAGTGCTGAGGAGGGGGGTTATGTTTTTGTGTGGCATGTTAAGGCAGGATCTGACGGATGAAAAATGCCTTTGTGGTTAGGAGCAGAACTAGGCTTGAAGCATGAGTTTAGGCTGTGAGCTGGTATTCCTAAAACTGTTAAGATTTTGCAGCAGCCTGCATGCTGTTTTTCTTTAAGGTGTGAACATCTGGCCAAAGACATTCCTAGAACTAATTTGGCTTTGCTGGGTGTAATAGGCTATGAAAGATGATGATAAAATCTGGGCACCGATGAAGATGAATTGTTTCCCTGATTAAATTCTTTATCATGAAAAAACATTTTGCGGCCAGCGAGGAACAGAAATTTTGGGGTTGTTCTTCTAATCCTAAAACATGCTAATTTTTACAGTCTATAAAAAAGGGCAACTGTGCTTCTTGTGTCTGTCTGACACACAGCAGTTTGTGAAAGTGGGAAGTAAGGCTGGAGTCAAGTGCAGTAAACATGAATGCAATATAACCATCCTTCCAACTGCAAACAGCAATACCAGAAAGAAACGGTGCAGCTGCAGACAGTTTGGGTATGAACATGGGAAATGTATAAGTCTTGCCTAGGAAAACTGGGGCTTTGGCAGCATAGGCAGAGGCTGGTGAAATAACCCATCCTGTGTGACACACGTGATGCTGCAGTGAGCGTGAAACCCATCAGGAGCATTGCACAACACTCCAGATAAGCAGATGCTCTTGAGCTGGCAGAGGTGGGTTGTGAAATTAGTCTCAGCACAAATAACTACCTTGTTAAATGAGGATGTGTGATACAGCTGCTGAAAACTGTAGACACCAGGAGGAGGAAGGGAAATTTTGGGGTGGTTTAATGGACAATGTCAGGGTTAACGGGGGGCAGAAATAAGAGAGAGCCCTGTGCCCTCACCCAGATCGAAGCTGGAAGCCAAAATTAGTGGGAGGTGAAGGTGGCTTTTGCCTGGGGACCCTGTTCACCCCTGGAAGTTGGACTCTGCCTGTAGAACTGATCAATGTGGCAGGTACCTATGGTTTGGCAGTGAGTGCAGAAGTGGGGAGCACCACTTATTTTGAGGTGTATCTTTATCTTATGTGCTTAGAAAACAGCCATGAGACACTCACCACTGACTGAACTAGCATGTATAATAGGGGAGACATGCCAAGGTCTGATGATTATTGTTCCTCAATGTGACCAGTCACTGCCTTCTGTATCCCAGGCAGGATTCGGCCTCTGCATGGTACAGCAGTAGTGAGTTCATGACCAATCTCTAACTTGTGGTGGTATCTCAGGCCTTTTGCATAAGGTTTTTCCTCCGTCTTTCTAATAACCACTTAAATCAACAAGACCTTCTGCCCTCATTCCTTCGGTGGTTTCATGAGGCAATGCAGCATCTGTATCTTCGTGGTCTGAGGGGATTTGCTTTCTGTGTACAAACTGGAGGAAGCAGCAAAGCAAACTTTCCTCTCTGTGTATCAATATTTTAGTAGCCCACACTTTGAAAAAACAAACTACTTGAACAGCAGATGTAAGTAGCTTTTCTAAAATGCTGGTTTACTTTGAAATCTATTGCTGGATATGACATTGCTTCCTCTCGAGAGCCTGAGGAAGCCCACATATTGCTTCCAGAAGTCTTCAGGACCCATAGACATGAAATAGCTCATAAAAAGTTTGGATGTTAACTCATCAGTTTAAGCAGTGGTTTCCTGCTATCTTCAGCTCCTAGTAGCCCTCACTGCAGGGATGATGCACTGGTCCAGCTCCCTGTGCAGCAAAATGCTTACACACCTCTGGGGTGGGTCTGCCAGCACCAGGGTGCTTTATTTCATTTTATATAGGGGGAAACAGCAATATCTGGGCAGGTAGCTGAAATCCTGGTGACACAGCAAAACACACTTCATCCTTCTTCCTATTTTTTTCTGCGAGCTTCCCATGCCCCATATTTAGATAAGGAGACTCAGTTTTGTTTTTCTAACTATAGATGAAATACTTTCGGAGGCTCGTCATGCATTCAGCTTGGGTTTTTCATTTTCTTTGGCCTTTTGTCAAGCAGTTTCTAGATTGTGGGTGATACTCCCCATCTTTATATATGCTCATGGGCCTGTGTTTTGATTTTGCCATAACGTGTTCCGAACGTTGAACAGTTTCATTAATGAGAACAGAAAGACAGTTCCCAGAGAAGTTTTGCCAGTTACATACAGCTGAAGCAGTGTGCTGTACAAGCATCTGTTTCTCTTCCACCTAAAAATAAAAAGCATGAGGGAACTCTCACTGTGTAACACAAATTGAACTCGGGACATTTGTCTCCTCTTCGTCGGCTTCTTGAACTGCAAACTGCTTCCTGCAGATTCATGATCTTCCTTCCACAAACGAAGTAGATTACAGAGCAGAGAAGGGATTTACTCACTTTCTGTGCCAACGTAGAGACAGTCACTTATTTCATGGATATAGAAGTTCCAAGTGAAACAGCCCCTGGTTATGGCCATCTGTTTCTTAGTTTTTATTTCTCTGTGGCACTGGCCGTGCCTGGTGGTAGTCATGTTCTGCCTCTTCTTTTAGTTTCAGAGCTCATTTATCCAGGCTGTGCTTGTTTTATCTGACTCGACCTATATTGCTTAATATACATCAGGTGAGCATCTAGCAGCTGGCTGCTACTGCTGCTGTTCCATCCTTGTCCTAATCTCCCGTGCCACCATAGCTGCGCCTTTCTGTTGGATGGAGCCGTTTCTTGTGGTGCTGTGCAGCTCTCCATTTTCGTGGGAGTGATGTTTATCCAGGGTTTGAGTCAAATCCATATATAAAAATGTCTGAAGCCCTTCGGGATGAGAAAGGCTTAAAATATTAACACTAATTAATGGCTCCTTCTCCGGCTGGGTGTAAACAGTGAGTCATGTGCCACTTATGGTTTTGCATGTTTAGTCCTATTTCTGTGTCCTTGCAGAATGCCTGCTTGCAGATTTGTTTTATTGAGTAAACACAGATCCCAGCAGAGCCCCGAGGCTGCATCAAATGAAAAATGGAGGGATAGGAAAGATGTTACGTGTTGCCCAAGGTCATGCAGTGAGTCACTGGGAAAGCTGGGTTGAGGTGCTGGGTGTTTCTGGCTGCCTGTTCACTGTGCTGCAAGGCATGCTCGTTTGCCTGGGATTTTAATTAACTGCTGTGGCAAATCTATAGTTAACCAAAGAGAATCACGAGTCGTAATGGTGTCATCCTGATGGCCTGTGAATACTGAAGAGTGCCCGTTTATTAAGTGTGGTTATTAAGAGCCCTAAATCCCAAGCACTTAAACTTGATTTAGAAGGATTGCCTTAACATCCTGGGTGAGGGCTTGCCAGTGGAAGGGTGTGAGGGCACAGACAGAGTGTGCATCTGATATGATTCTGCCTACAACATGCTCTAAACGCTTGCCTCACATTTCCAGCACTCCTCCTGTGGCCTGCAGGAGGACATACATCCCACTTGGTGCCCAGCGATTTTGGTTGCATTTATACTGCTTTCACTACAAAACCACCCCTACAGTGTAAATAAAAGGGTGTTTTGATAGTGGAAAGTTTAGTTCGGAAGGTGGCAATGTTATTTTTAAGCTTTTTTAGAGAGAAAACCCCAGAATTAAAGGCCACTATGATGCATATTTTCATCATAACCAATTCTTCGTGGCATTTACTTGCAGAGGCACTAATGAGAGTGTTTACATGCAACACTGATGGCGTGCTCTGCACCACGCAGTGAAATCAGAAGGAAGAGAGAGCACATGTTCCATAGCTATGTTTCATAACATGTACAGAACAAGGCGATTTTTGCAGTTGATGTTTTGTTCCTAGCAAAGGGAAGGTTAGCCAGCCTCTTTCCAGAAGGCATGTTGAATCACATGGATGACCCACAGCCAATCCATGCAGTGCTACACTTTGAAGCCTCGCTAGTATAGGCACAGGCTTGAAAGCGCAGCACAATCAAAAGTAGTTGTATTAGTCAGAGATGGTTCATGTATTTTCTTTCTGCTGCCAGATGCAATTTTGGCTTCACGACTGTTTTTATAGCTCAAGAATGTCATATCTTTAACTTCGTACATAACCAGGGGTTTTTTTCTATTAATGAGAAAAAAAAAAGATTTCTGGTTTCTTTTGCTTGTCCGTGTTTCTGTCTTCTGCCTCTGTAAAGTATCCCTTTTCAGTGCACTGAGATACAAGCAAAAGCCACTTTTTGTAGTGTTGTGTGTTGAGGGTTTTTTGTAATAAAGAAAATTAGTGCCAAAAAGAGATGCTGCTCTCGACCAACAACATCTAGAAAACACGTGCTACGTAAGCCTAAGAGCATCTGGAGAGAAGGAAGGGCCAGGGTGCTCCCTCAATCCAAACAATACCCATATGGGGCTGTTTGTGTTGCATATACTGCGTGCTTCCCAGCACAGCTAATCGGAGCTGCCTCTTTCCCGCTGTACTGGAGAGGTCCCTTGGAGTCAGGGCTGTGGTCTGAGATGATGAACTGCTCAGCAGTGATGCCTTGGGATGTTGCTGCTGCAAATACAATGGGGAAACTGTGTGCTGCTGAATCCTCCCCAGAGTTAAACCACGGCCTTTTGGGTTTGTCTAAGGCTATGGCATTGATAGGAGCCACGGATAATTATCATTTAATAGCAGGGCATTGCTGGTTGTGAAAACTTTCCTCTGAAAGAGCATTAGAAAGGGAAATGTTTTTCTCTTTACTCTGCTGCCTGTTCTGTTGCTCCTCCAACTGATTCTGTTTAACAAGCAGTTGGCTTAATTATTTTCTTGCTGTCTGGAGGCTGAAAGATAGGACAAGATGCTCTGTGGAAACTTGTCTGGCATTTGGCAATGAGTTTTATTGAAACAATCTGTTCATCTGAGTAAAATTTTGCTGGTGGAATTGTAGGAAAATTGGATAAAGGATACACAGCTTGTTAAATATTAAAACCATAACTTCTGTATCTCTAGCAGCATATGGGGATGACCGATATCATTAGGTTTTACTTTCTACTTTACAGATATTGTGTATCTCCTAGGATATTTGAAATAAAGTTGTAGGTGAAAAATACAAAATGATGGGCATTTGGGTTAGTTTATATTAGTGGACTTTTTTCCCTAAGGGTCATTTATCAATACAGGCTTTCCAACTGCTGGTGACAAAAGACAACTAAAGAGCTACCTCTTGGTTTCCTAGTTAAACACATAATATTCTCCCTTTTTGCCCAAATTTAGTAATGATTCAGCTTCTATTAACTTCTGAAATTAAATTATATCTTGGCAATCTGTACAAATAATCAGGACATTCTACATACTGCCTTGTTTCTTTGCTATGTGAGCACACAATGTATAGCTTTATGATCCCATCAAGTATAGGTACATAAATCTGTGTGCTTTGGAACACGTATGGGATGAAAAAGGCACCTTTACAAGTTTTCCAGGAGGAATGAATTAGAAGAGGGGTGCATTAAGCCACTTTGTACCTCCATTTTAGGTACACAGCTCAAGAATACCTCGAAGGTCCCTGGTTTTAAATATAGCAACTGGTATCCACTCCTCAGAAATTGGTTTAAGTTAATATCTAGGTAGGGATTCCACTGCATCTAGAATCACTGTCCTGTTGTGAAAGTTTATACTAAAGCCTTTTTCCTTTTGGGGCTGGGTTTGTTGAGCAAAGGAAAGAATTTTTTGAGTGGTGTGAGTGTGAGGAAAGCACAATTAAGGTTAGGTTTGCTAAGCAGAAGATGCATCCCTTTAGACTTCTTCTGTTCTGATTTTGGATTCAGTAACCATTTAATCCTCCAAACCCTTAAACTGAAACCTGAATTTATACATGCTGAGGTCCATTGATGCTTGTAGAAATAGTCTAGTGACACAATTAAGTATAGAATCCCAGACTGGTTTGTGTTGGAAGGGGCCTTAAAGCTCATCCAGTTCCAGCTCCCTGCCACGGGCAGGGACACCTTCCACTAGAGCAGGTTGCTCCAAGCCCCTGTGTCCAACCTGGCCTTGAACACTGCCAGGGATGGGGCAGCCACAGCTTCTCTGGGCACCCTGTGCCGTGGCCCCCCCCCCCTCATAGTAAATATGTAGGTAAATACTTGGGGAGGGTCAGGATCATTGACAGATTTAAAAACATGTCACGTCACTAAAAAGGTGAAGACTTTAAAAACGCAAAGGAAAGGAGGAACGCTGCTCAGTGTGTGCTTTACAGACAGGTGATACATAAAGGCAAAGTATTTATTTCACGTATGATCTGTTTCAGAACACCCTTCTGTATTTACTGGGTGAGTAGGAGGCCTTAAGAACTTCCCAGCTGTTTTCTGATTGCTGAAGGGGGAGTTAGTGGTCCAGCTGGAATCATCTGTTATCCAGCCGGTTCAGTTCCTGTGCAGATATAACACATCTTGTCGCAATCACACTCAGTCCCCTTGATCCATTGCATTGGGCGAGGGTGTGTGATCCAACCTTCCCTTCCTTTTTGATGCTGGATTTTAAGAATGCTTTGTGCCATAGTGGGAATGTCTTCAAGAACATGATATTTAGTATGTTTAGAGGTAAGATCTTGAAAGGGAAGTATAATGGTATTCCTTACTGTCAGAATGGAAAAATTCCATAAAGTCTTTAAATCCTAACATCTTCAGAAGAAAACATCAGTGCATGTAGGAGGCAATATAATTATTTAGAAGAGATACTCCATTGAAAACAAAGTAAGATGAAACATTAGCCGGTGTCTTATGAGAGTATAAAATGCTTTTAACTATGCATATGCGTGTTTGATAGACTTTGCCTGCTGCTTTCATGCCTCTGTAGTGTTCACTCTCAATATATTATTTTTATTGCAGCAGCTGTTGGCTAATTATTTCAAGAAGCTGTTGGAACCAAGTCATTCCCAGTATCCTTAAATGCTTGCTTTGTACAGCAGGGAGTAACTATTCCTTTGGTGTGTTAATTCATTTTGATTTAATGGGTACCTGTTGCGGAAAAAGTACTCCTACAGTCCAAAGAGCCCACTCGTTGGAGGAAAAGCTCATTGAGATGCTTCTGTACCAAGCCACATGAAATACTTAAAGAAAACAGAACAAGCTAAATCCCTCAGAGATAAAAGCCTCTCTCTTTTCCTCTGCTCCATTAATGTGTTCATGCTTCTGTAGAGCTTGTCCTCACTGTGTAGTAATGTCTTAGCATTTGAATTTTTCTTGTTTCTTCTTTTTTTTAAATTCTATTTCAATGTTATGTTTGTTTGTAGGGTAAATTGCCAGTTCTTCTGCTCGGTCAGTCTGCAGACCTGAGGCCAGGAGAATTTGTGGTGGCGATTGGAAGTCCGTTTTCCCTTCAAAACACAGTGACTACAGGGATCGTCAGTACTACTCAACGTGGAGGGAAGGAGCTGGGGCTCCGCAACTCCGATATGGACTATATTCAGACAGATGCCATCATCAACGTGCGTCCTGCTTTGAACCTCATCCCCCCAGCTCTTACATTTCTTGAGTAGTTTGAAAACCTCAGCAGTGATACAGTTCTTAAGACCAGTGAGGGTAGCTGGCCTTCCTTTCATCCTTGTAAATATGGACATCTGCGCTCCAGCAGCACTTGATTGTTATTTGAAAATCCCCCAAGGAACCACACCAAGCACAATATCTGCCTTCACTTCAAAATTCTTACAAGGGAGGAGGCAATTTTCTCTGGCAAATAAGTCTCTTTTCAAAATCCATCATGTTTGCTAAAAAAGAAGCAAAGCTTAGTTTAAGGATTCAAGTTTGTTTCTGAATTGAGGCAAAACAATGGGTTTTGTACTTCTGCTGTTGGCCTTGCAAGAAATCTTTTCTAACAGCTCCCAGAGCTGTCCTAAAATCTTCTTAAGTTGCTAATGTGGTACTGTTAAAACAAAAGAAAAACCTTGGCTTTCTTAGCTTTGGCAAGAGAAGAAGGACTAAGCATTTGCAAAGCTCAGCTAAAAGGGGTGATGTTAAGTGTAGTTAGTGGGTTTGGAAGTTAAGGCTGTTCTGTTGCACAGATTTAATAGACAATGAAAAAAAAGTTACAGAAATATTTCAGAAATCTCTTTTATGTTTTGCTTGCCATGAATGAAGAGGTAGATATTAAAACATGTTCTTGCCATATGTTTATTTTCAGTATGGAAACTCCGGAGGACCCCTAGTAAATCTGGTAAGAGTTTCTTTAAGTTTGCTTAGTGTCAAGTTTATTACTTTTTACTTTTCAGTTTAAAAACAAACCAGAGAACTCTCCTCAAACCAACAAACAAACAAATCCCCACACCAGAAATGTGATTAAGAGCTTTGTATCTGGCTGACTACACAGAATTCACATGGTTCTTACTAATCACTCCTCCGTGTTGATGTTGGCGAGTCCCGAAATGCACTTCAATTTCAATATTTAAGGTCTTTACAGTTTGCATAGTTTCAAGCAAGTGTAATGCCCAATCTTTTTTTGTCTGTGCCTTGAAAAAAGTTAAAAGCACACTTGAAAGTTGAGGCGTTTGCCCTCACTGTGTACCGTGCAACTGACAATACTGGGGGTTTTTTATACTGCAACTCAGCATAATGGTTCAAAACCCCCTTTATTTGAAATCATGCTGAGGGGGTTGTATTTATCAGGATATTAGGGTTTATTTACTTCAACTGTACAACATAGTCAGCATTGACGTCCAGCAACTGTGGAGAAGCACAAGAAGGAACAACTGAAGCAGGCTGCAAAACCCAACTGCTGTGTGAAGTCTCTCAGATGGAGCACAGGGGATCAAAGGGAGGAGAGGCAGTTTCTATCTGGGGTTGATCAGGAAGAGAAGCTGCTGAGATTTCAGAAGAGTTTGAATCATCAGCTGACAGCTAATGTTTTATCTGCAACTCTCTCTTGGAGCCACATTACCAGGAAAAGCTTTTGATTTTGGTGAACTGTCATTTATATTATTATGCAATATCTCCTCAGAACTCGTCTGTGCTTCATGAGGTGACTGCTGAAATAAACAGACCAAAATTGGCTGAGAATATGCTGTTTGTTTGTTGGAAGCAGGAGAGCTGCCCAGTTCTGCTCTCTCTTCTGGTAGAACATAAATATCCACATCAGTTTTCCAAAATTGTGGAGCAGGTTTTTTTATCAATATACTCAAAAATTAAAGAAACCATTTAGCAAGTTGGAAACCAGCTACAGAGTGTGTTGTGTGCCTGTGATTGTTTGGAAGAAAACACCCATTTCCCTTTTGAGATGTTTCACATTTGCTAATAACAATTTCTTCTTTCTCCAGGATGGTGAAGTGATTGGAATTAACACATTAAAAGTTACAGCAGGGATCTCGTTTGCTATCCCATCGGATAAAATCAAAAAGTTCCTAACTGAATCCCATGACAGACAAGCTAAAGGTACTGTCCTTTGCTGCTGCGAAAGAGAAAAAAACATGAAAATAATAGTAAATCAGAAAGTTTATGGCCTTTGAGGTTCTTTTGGTAAGAGTAATTGACCACGACCTCTTTTCCCTTTTTGTAGGAAAAGCTATAACCAAAAAGAAATACATTGGCATACGCATGATGTCTCTAACTCCTAGGTAAGTAAAGGTGGTGGTTCCTCACCTTTCCCTGGTGCGGTGGCTGCATGCATTTGGATCAAGCTCTTGATGTGCAGAAACAAGGAGGTTTGAACCAACAAGGTGTGCCCCTGGTGACAACTCACAGCCAGTTTTTGCTATGTTTTTCTTTTCATCTGCTATGTGGTTGAACTCTCCTGTAGACTCTTGTACTAAGCCAGTTTTTAAGCAACACCTTGGCTTTTTCTTTTCCCTAATGCTTCAGAAGAGACTAGCTAGTGATTGTTGGTTTGCTCCGGGGCTGTTACTGTTGTATAACGTACTGTTGTATGTTTTCAAGAATTGCAGCATCTATGTGCATATTTCCAGTTCTATAAACTTATTTTCATTAAATTATTCACTTAATATAAAATGAAGCTTTGGTGTGGACTTTCTTACTCATACCCAAACCAGAAAAGACTCATGAGTAGGTGTTACTCCGTCCTGTAGAAATAACCAGAAGTTTTCCCATGGGCAGGATCACGGGTGTAACAAAGCATTGAAACCTGAAGGGGTTTTTTAGGTATTCAGGATCTGCCAGTTCTAAAGACCACATATCTTAACTATGATCCTCTGCATCTATTGAAATGATTTCCTTTACCAGAAATAGGTATTAAAAAGCTCTATGCATGCAAAAAAGGTGTAATAATTCTTTGAAACACTTGTAAGGGTTAAAACAAATTGGGAAGCGTCGCATCAACATGTGTAAAATACCTCAGCTAGTGAAAGTTAAGTGACTTAACTAAGTAAAAATGCCTGCTTGGGGTTTTTTTCCCATCTTGTCAAAATATTTTTGTTGCTGTTTCTTCATTTTCCAGCAAAGCTAGAGAGCTGAAGGATCGCCATAAAGACTTTCCTGATGTTGTCTCTGGGGCCTATGTTATTGAAGTAATTCCAGAAACACCAGCTGAAGCGTAAGTTGAAGTCCTTTTATTCTCAAAACCACTGCCACTGACTTAAGGGGGTCATGATAGGGAATGTTCTCTGCTTAACTGGCTATCTTCATCACGGTGAATTAACACAACGGCGACCATCTGATAGTTATTAGGTTGTCTGTTGGAAATCAGTTTGTGGTTTTCAGCCGGTCCCTGATGGGCAATATTGGGAATATCAGGGCACTGCAGCGGAGCCCTGTCAGCATTCCCAGCCGAAAGGGCAAAGATTCAGTGGGCGTGGAAACTCCGTTCTCATTTTTTCTCAGTGACTGCTTCCAGGACATCTGTTGTCCTGATGCCAGCGCTGAATAAAGACGTTTGCTTGTGCATGCTCCCCACGGCCCTGCTGGTGCCCCTGTAGGAGGGTGAGGAAGAAGCTTTGCCACCACCTAGTGAAGATGTGTCCAACTCAGCCCAAGCACTTCAGTGCTGGACAAACCCGGCACCTCTCCTGGCGTTCTCCCACTGTGGGTGAAATCCTCTCTTAGCAGGAGATGCTCTTCTATGTGAGAGCTTTGTCAGGAGTCACAATACTGGGAAGAGCTTTTGGTTTTGAGCAATTGATCTCAGTATTACTCAGTATTTGCTCAGAAGCTCACACGCTGGTTGGTGCCACACTTCATGAGATGCCTGGCTGAAGTACGGGAGACCTTATAACAGTCTTCCAACACCTAAAGGGGGCCTACAAGAAATCTGGAGAGGGACTTTTTACAAGGGCAGGTAGTGATAGGACAAGAGGGAATGGGTTCAAACTTAAATAGGGCAAATTTAGGTTACACATAAGGAAGAAGTTCTTCCCTGTGAGGGTGCTGAGGCGCTGGCACAGGGTGCCCAGAGAAGCTGTGGCTGCCCCATCCCTGGCAGTGTTCAAGGCCAGGTTGGACACAGGGGCTTGGAGCAACCTGCTCTAGTGGAAGGTGTCCCTGCCCGTGGCAGAGGTTGGAGCTGGATGAGCTTTAAGGCCCCTTCCAACACAAACCAGTCCGGAATTGTCTGGTCTGTGGTCACCAGCACTGGTAAGTCTGGCTTTTGCTGGAGACACTTTTCAGTTTGCTTGATATGAAACCGCTCAGTAATCTCAGGTGGGAAATGGGAAAATTTATTAATTTTCTGAAACTGGAAATCATTTAAGACAAGAGTAAATCTCTGTGGCAACAAAGGCATATGTAGCACCAGAGGCATGTAGGCAGAAAACTAGTTGGAGCAGGCATATGTTATCTCTTAGGAAAACTGCGAGGAGTAGATGATCTTAAGATCCTTTCCAATCCTGACTATTCTACGATTCAATGGTTGCATGATGTCTCCTTGTTGCAATTTGTATGTCACTGTAAGATACATAGTGTTAGCTAACATGCTCTCTGAATTATTGCTGTGTTTTGTAGATGATTCTTTTTGGCAGCCCTGTTCATGCAGATTACCGGTGTATGTCTGTAACGTGACATTAAACTACAGTTAGTGTAGGAATAATGTGGCTGCTCCAGGGTGGGACTGAACTGGCTGCCTTGACGTGCAGGTCCAATCTGAAGGTGCAGAAAAACTGTTATAGGAATGCAGGTAACAGTTAGCAGAGTGGGAGAAGTATATGAGAGAGGTAGAAGAAATGTGAGGCAGTGTAGCCACGTAACTTGAAGGCAAACTCAAATCAGGATGCAATTAAAATGCAGCCCATGTTTGCTCTGTCTCCTCCACTCCTAGTCACTTTGCCAATGGGTTTGCCCATTCTGCTGGTTTCCTCTTCAATGCATGTTGTGTAGACATGCTGGTAGGGGACCAGAGCAGTTCTGCAGCGCCCTGTTCTGGGTATGAGTTGGATGTAGAGGCTGCATGAGAGACTGAGATAATCTGGAATGGTTTCTCCCATGAGCATGTTTTAAGCCATGCGTTCAGTAGGCAACCAGATTTGTTGCAAATGTTGGCCAAGGCACCCTGCTTGCAGGAGACACTCATGTAAGACGTCTTCTGTTGGCGGAAGAGGCTGATGACTGCTCTGTGGTTTTGTGAAGAAGGGTTATGTTGAAAGGTTGAATCATGTCTGATCTGGTTACTTGGTTAATATTTCCATAACTTGGAGCCAGATCGTTGTGCAAGATCGGGCAAGACATTGTGGTTGATGGTATCCCTCACCAGCCTGCCTCTTGTTCCCGGCAGCAATCTCAGCTGGCTCGGGGAGAGACACACAGCCCTGGGCAGAGGAGCCGTGCGGTGCTGGCTCTGGTTCTGACCCATCTTATGTCCCCAGCATAAGAAGGACATGGAACTGTTGGATTCAGAGGAGGGCCATGAGGATGATGGGGGGGCTGAAGCACCTCCTTTCTGAAGCCAGGCTGAGAAAATTTGGGCTGCTTAGACTGGAGAAGAGAAGCTGTGTGGAGACCTCAGAGCAGCTCCCAGTGCTTAAAGTGGCTGACAAAGATGCGCAGAGGGACTCTTCATCAGGGACTGTAGTGATAGGACAAGGGGTGATGGGTTCACACTTGAACAGGGGAAGTTCAGGTTAGATATAAGGCAGAAGCTCTTCCCTGTGAGGATGCTGAGGCGCTGGCACAGGGTGCCCAGAG